ATCTATCTATCTATCTATCTATATATATATAGACACACACATACAGTATATTGATAATTTATATAGCAATCATTACAAAACAGCATTTTTAATCTAAATATATATTTGGCTACTTTAGGAGAGCCAGCATGGAGCCAATCAATACAATTACAGTGCACTGAAATAAAAGTGCATTTAAAACCAATTACTTCTGGGACTAGACAGTCAATCAATGGAAATGTTGATTACCAAAAACCTCCGCATACCTGAGCCAAGTGGCGTTCATCCTATCCTCTATCTGTTTAAAGAATTAGAGACTTCTGAAGCGTGGAAGACATTAAACACTGGATATTTCTGTGCTAAAGCAATGGTCATGATGCAGGGAGAAGAGTCGAACAAGCCAGAGGGAACGAAATGCTGAATAATGGTTAATAAAAGTGAATGGATGGATTGCAAGACTTTAGAAATATGCTGGTCATTATGAACAGCGTGAGTGTGTTATTTATCCAGTGAGAGATGCTGGGCTTGCACTGCTGTTGACACAGTTATGATGTGGACTGGCTTTGTTTTATTGTTGTTAATGACTGGAGAATGTGCATATTACTCATGCCAAATTACAGAATAAACAGTCTGATATGGGAATAGGGGAACTTTTTTTTTTTTAACAACATCAGCTATATTTACTTATAATGTGGTAAATTACACAACTATCTGGACTACAGTATGTTTATTAAAAATGTAAACCAGTAGAAAAAAATCAGGTTTTGTTTTAACCACTGCAGATATTACAATTAATTTAAATGTAGAGTTGTTATATGTCTTCATTATAATGACTGCACAAAAAAAGAAATAAAAAATGTATATCTAAACTTTAAATAAATAAATAAATAATTAAATAAACAAACAAACAAACAAATAAATCAATAAATAAATTAATTAACAAATAAATAAATAAATAAATATAAAAATAAATAAACAAACAAACAAACAAACAAATAAATAAACAAATAAATAAATAAATAAATAAATAAATAAATAAATAAATAAATAAATAAATAAATAAATAAATAAATAAATAAATAAATAAATAAATAAATAAATAAATAAATAATATTTAGATCTTTAATATTCAAGATTTAGGTAAGTGCATTTACTTTTTGTTTAACATAGCTGTAGTTGATGTCAGTAAGGGTGAAACTTTTTATATGGCCACTTCTCATGGTAGCACGCCCATCTATGCTCTTCACTCATCACTGGCTTAAAATAGCTTAAAAAAGGCAAGATTTAGGCAAGGTAATTTTAATAATTGAAAACTAAGACTATTTCCCAGAGATGGGTTGCGGCTGGAAGGTTAAAAACTTGCTGGATAAGTTGGCGGTTCATTCCGCTGTGGTGACCCCAGATTAATAAAGGGACTAAGCCGACAAGAAAATGAATGAATGAATGAACTAAGACTAAAACTACACAATTTTAGCTAACTGAAATAAAGAAACTTTTAATAAATAAAAAACTAAAACTAACTGAAACAGAACTAGATGTAAACTAACTGAAAAACTAACTGCACTGTAAAAAATTGTGGGTTTCATACAATTGATCTGTTTTGGGACAACAAAAAAGTAACATTTACAGATTTAGGTGGACATGAAACAATTAGGTTGTCGTTTAAAAAAAAATCAAGCATTGTGTTGTTTCAGCTCATTTTAAATAATTAGTTTAGACAAACAGCTAGCATTATTTTTTAAGTGTGAAATAAAATAACAATTAGCAATGACTCATTCACTATCCTTCATCTTAGTCCTTGATTTAACCCTAACACAGTGAAATGAACCCCCGATTACTCTGGCATATTTTTTATATTTCCTTCCGGTCAAAAATCTATTTTTGTTATATATTTTTTAATTTAATAAGATGAAAGGAATGAAATAACACCAGAGATGGGTTGTTGCTGGAAGAGCATCCTCTGCATAAAATAGTGCCGGATAAGTTGGCGCTGTGGCGACTCCAGATTAACAAAGGGACTAAGCCAACAAGAAAATGAATGAATGAAATAGATAATATTCACTAGATCTTTAATATTTACAATTTAGGTTTTTAAAGGGTATAATTTTAACTTTTTTTTTTTTTTAACACAGCTCTAGTAGATTTCATTAGGTGTGGAACTCCTTATATGGCCATTTCTTATGGTAAAAACTACACTGAAACCAACAAAACCATTAAGGAAATAAACTGAAACTGAACTGAAATGTATAGCTAATTTAAAAATCGAATCAAAATAAACGTAATTAAAAATGCAAAACTAAAATACCCTTGGTTTTTGGTTGTATTTGAAGATTTTCCCTTTGTTATATTTGTAGTGATATCACAGAACATAATTGATCTCATTGGTGGAAGCTGCGCCAAATTAAAACACTGTTGACTCCGCCCACATTTTGCCTCTTGCGTTTTCCAGAGGAAATCTCAAAAATGCATCTTTCTCTTATAAGTATTAATAACTAAACACTTTTTGGAGCAAAAATACATG